ATAAATGTCCCTTTAAATTGATACAGCCCTGGGATGGACTGGCAACCTGTCCAGGGTGTATCCTGCCTTCCGCCCAATGGCCGTTGGGATAGGCTCCAGCTCCCCCCAGCGACCCAGGAGGATAAGCGGCTTAGAAAGTGTGTGTGTGTGTGTGTGTGTAAATTGATACAAATTGTTATCAAACACTAAAATAATGTGTCAAGTCATCGGTACTGAACAAGATTTATATTTGCCTACCGGTATTCTCACTCACGTTGTACTTGGCTATTCATTGGCCATTAGTTGTGTTCAACAAGCCAACTAAAATAAACAAAGATTAATTCCATATCGTCACTTCTATCTAGATCAGCACAAATTCCATCAAACTCCTCTACATCCTTACGTAATAAAAAGAACACTTTTAAACACTGCAAGTGTCACTGGGGGCTTCATCATAAATGACATGTATGAATGCGTAAAACTTTTTTGTTACAAATTGCAAACTAGAATATTTTGATTAAAAAAAAAACATATCTAATAATCTAAAATGCAATTTGTGTCGATTATCACTGTAATTAACATATTTTCTATCAGAATCCACCATATTAATTCGTGGCCATTTGCAGCCATCACAGCACAATGCAGAGCGGCCGGCAGAGGCCACTGTGGGGTCTAGAGGGTTAATGCAGACAGTCTGTAATCAAGAGTTATTGAGGCGGAAGATGTGGGGGAGATGATTAAATGTTGTGCTGTTCCTGACTGTCAGGAAGCAAATGTATCATTACAGCCTTCCAAAGGATCCAGACAGTGGAAAGGAGTGGTTGAAGGATTTCAGCCTGAACTTAACAGTTTGTTGTGTACCTTTCAGTCCAGACTGCTTTATAAATGAGGCACAATATGAAATAGAGTTAATTTTCATTTAAATTAAGTTGGAAAATGCTCACATAAGAATACATTTTTGGTACATAAAACTGTTATAAATGGACTTCAAAGGCAAAAAAAGTACCTACAAGAAACATGTAGAGTATGGCCCCTTTAACCAATATCACCCTACATTTATTATTCGGTTAGTAATGTTATGACATATTGTTCTGTAACTATATGAAAGTATGAATTATCCGAAATGACGTCTGTTTAGCCTGGTGGACTCATTTGTCTGCCCATTCATGTTGAGGTGATAAGGAGTGTTGTTAATGCAGACAGTCTGTAGCAGAATCAAGTCTGTAACTACCATGCGGACACAGAAGTCCGGACCTTGGTAGTTTCGGAAGGGTTTTATGAGATTCAGTGAGGAAACAGCAATGAGAACAGCAGTGACTGGTTCTCACGACAGAACCACTGTTGTCTTGGCCACAGACTTAACTACTCGCTATATTTATTTCTGTACAAGATGCTACGCTACCCACAGAAATATTGACTTCTTGAGATTACAGGTGTGTAACACACACACTTTAGGTTACATGTGACTTCACTATGGTAAAAAATGTGTGAGTTTATAAGGGCAAAACATAATTTGTTTTTTAATTGGACCACTTGTATTATTGCTAGCTAAATTAGCATGCTTTAGTGTAGTTCCAGTATCTGCTCTTTTTATGCTCTGTAGTTGGGCATATTCTCGATTAAATGAGAGATTAATGGTAGTGCTAAGTTATTTTACTGTGTTAATTATTCATAATACACTACGAACATGAGAAAGTTCACTGTTACTTAGCATATGGATGGCATATCATCAAGAATGAGGAAATGAAGAAGACAACAGGTACATTGGGCTGCGTGATGTCTTGTTAAATGTATGAGTAGAAAAGATGTGGGGGAGATGATTATACGATGTGCTTTCCATGACTCTCGGAAAGCAGATGTATCATTATAGCCTTGCAAAGGATCCAGACATTTGAAAGGAGTGGCTGAAGGATTTTTTAACAGTTTATTCAGCCCAGACTGCTTTATGAATGAGGCATGAGTTGATCCTGAGTATAACAGCTTCCAAAAACTTAGGAAATAAAAAGAGCAGGGTTCCAAAGTAGTAAAATGAACAGGCAGACAAAGTTTGACCCACCCTGGTGACCTGGTGCTTGTCAAAGAATGTGGTCATGATGTCAGTGCTATGAAGATGGATGTGTGAATGTGTCTCATGTGTCTGTATATAGGGTAAAAAATGAATGAGTGGGTCTCATGTGTCTGTATATGGCTTTGGGTTAAAGTGCACAGGTTTCATATTATAAACTATGGGCTGTTACTAAAAGCCGAGTGCACAGCTTCTACTTACTTTCACAGCTTTTGGTTTCTTTCTCTTTTTGCCAAAATCAAGGTCTCCACCTAGATAGGGTTCAGAGTCACAAGAATGTCACTTCTCACTAGCAGTAACACCCAGGTCATCTCTCCATAAACACACACACATAGCCTTGAGTCAGTCCACCCAGAGCACACCCTGCTGGGTCAGTGCACATGCCTCTGACTGTGCTACGCCCTTTCTGTTGGATTTCAGAACGCCACGTTTAGAGAGCAGTCTGGAGTGCTCATGCCAGAGTTATCTGTGCGTGTCCCTGTCATGATCAGATTTGTGTGTTTGGACAAGCTACCAACAACTGAGCGTAAATGGGCTCCAGTTTGGCCGAGATCGAATTCCATGTGTTTAGACTGCAAGAAAAAAGATCATAAATGAAACAGAAAATGAAATTTCACTGCCAGTTTAAATGCAGCCTTAAAGACCCTATGCTCAGTATTGCATTTACTTAAAGACATTCTGTTTCTTTTATTTCATGTTGGCAGTGCAGTACTAAAAGCCACCAGAACAGTATATGGTTTTATTCAAAAACTTTCCAACTCAGGTGACTATTATATAGTAATAGTATAAAGGAAATAGTATCTTATGGTGAAATTGGTGAAATAGGTTAAAGTGCAGCAGCTGACTGTATACAAGAATAAGCTCAAAGCAGATGTGACCAAGATTTATTACACTTTATTCTATCTCTCTGTCGCACACACATCTCTCTAATATGATATGTACACACATACACACACTCAAACACACACAGGCTAGTCTAATATGATCTATGCCATAATCATATTTAGAGCATGGAGCAGCATATATCAGATGTAATACTTCATTCCACTGCATCCTTTCAGCAGCAGGCTTGCCAAACTCTCACACAATGATGGAATTGTACCACATATTCAAGCATATAATGGCTCTGTTGAATCTAATATATATGCCATCCTTCATAAAGAGCAGTGTAACTCACTGTACAGGCGTAATGACATCACATCCTCCAAAGACTGAAGTGGCTTTTATTGCAGCTATATGTACAGACTTAGAAATTTCACTCATCATTCTCATAGTCTTTACTACTAAGACTACCACAACCACCCTCACTGTCATTGTGATCACTACTGTTGATGGTATTACAACTAAATTCCAAGTAGCATATGTAGGATTCACATTTTCAGGGTTGAATTCACACGTTCATTTATGTTTCTCTGGACTTCATAAACACTGTAGGTGTTAATTTAATGAGTAGGGGTCAATTTAACACTGTTAGTGCTGATTTAACACAGCAGGTATTAATTCAATTAATTTAGCCCTGTGGGTTTCTAAATAAACAGTCTACTAGTTAATTCAACAGTGTTCATTGAACAGTTAAAGGGGAAATCCTGCCTAGAGTTTACTAGAGATGTTATTTGTTGTGTTATGCAGTATTCTGTAGCACTAACAAAAGCTAACAAATACAACAAAGCTTAATGGAACTCTTTAGCTGTTGAACAGAACTATAATGTAGAGGTCTGCACTCCTGCGGATTCCCGCAAGACCCACGGGACCCACGACAATATCTTGTGGTACAGGACTAATTTTCTGTGTTGTGTGTGGAAGTGGGCCGGAATTCAGCCCACTGCAGGCAGGAGCAGGACGAAGCATGCATGGAGAGAAATCCCGCAAATTAATAAATAGCCTAAATAAAGTAAAACATAATAAATGAATAAATCATATATATAAACAATATAAAATGATAACAATAAAACAATTCAAATGAACAAAGTCATTCTAAAGAGTTGCAACGCAACAGATCACGTTAACAATGCAAAAGAGTCATAGCTTACAGAGACAACGGCCACAGCTGCCGAGCCCAGCAAAACACCAAAAACAACCAGGCTGTGGTTTAATTCCCGCTTTGTGCTCAATGGGAAAAATGGCGTTTGGTGAAGTTAATTCACAGTGAGCTGGATGACCATGACTGCCATGTTATTTCAACAGAAAATAACGTATTTGTGAATGGACTGTGTCAGATATTGGATGTCAATTCGCCTTGACGGAACTGTACCAGGTGGGAGCAAGACAAAACATTTCGGTTGTGGGCGGGGGCGGATGAAATCTTGTGGAAGTGGGCGGGGGCGGGACTGAAAAAACAGTCCCGTGCAGACCTCGACTATAATGAAAACAGTTATTATATATTTATTCAGCACAAAATGGACTACAGAGAAAAGATGTACCCATTTAGCCAGCAAAAAAAGACAAACTGAGATAGTGTAGCTACCTTGCTAACTGTAGCTTTTAGCTTGTTGTCCTCCTCATTTGATGTGTCATTCTGTCGTTTGAGATCTGCTCAAAAAAAAGCATACCCTTAAAAATCCTCTCCAGATGGGCTAGTTTTAGTTTCTCAAATTCCTTTCACCTTCAAGATACGTCATCAGAAGGGGGCTTTCCGAGTTTTTAAACTGTAAATACTCACAGACGTATAGCGACGGTTAAATTTTTCGTTTTGTCTAAATTGTCGATTAAATTCAACACTGTAGGAGTTAATTCAGCCCTGTGGCCTGTGTCAATAAAACTGTTAATTTATCACTTGTATGGTGTGAAGTTCCCCACAGGTCTGACAGTTGGAGGCATTTTGTTTAACGGCAGTGACTTCCGTAAAGTTCCTTTACAGTTCCCACCGTCATGGAAGGGTGCGCGCGCGTGCTAGTGACAAGCTGAGGCTCTGCGGTCTCTCTCTCTCTCTCTCTCTCTCTCTCTCTCTCTCTCTCTCTCTCTGTCTCTCTCTCTCCACCCTTCACTAATTGGCTGCTCGCCGTCTCCTGGGGCGCGCACTGCTTCAGACACGCGAGTGCAAGAGTTCAGCGGATAAACCCACACAGCCGAGTCCATCAGAGATTAGAGGGTGATGTGGAGCGCTCGGCAGCCTCACCTTCAGGTCTGGATTTGTGTATCTGTGTTAGGTGTTTAAAGATCAGCTGGCTGTAGTGAAGGGACAGGCTGTGTGTGACTGAAGTGTCAGACCGCGCGCGCCGTCCCACAGAAAGGTAACCATCTCTGAGACTCTTCTGTAACTTGTTTGTGCTTTATTAGTCTGCTTTGAGTGTGTTGATGCCTGTTATCAAGTGCCTGAGCTGATGCCGTAAGCTGTGTCTGTACAAGTACGACAGGTTTTGATTTACTTGTGAAATGTGTCACTGAGGAGAAGAAGTCTGTTGCTTGTTAACCGGCTTTGGCTGAATGATGAACAGCTCTGAGAAGAAAACGAACGTCAGTTGGGCTTGTTGTGCTGTTCTCTGAGGGAGTTGATAGGTGGTCGTGAGGTTTTCCCTTCTTGTCGTTTGTATTTTTTTGCATTTGATGTGATGAAACGTCTGGTTTTGGGAGGATTTAAACTCCTAACCTGTGACATTATCACGCTGGCGGCCATGAGTGAGACGTTATGTGGAACAAACGGTTGGTTTTATGAAGTGCAAAGAAACGATTGTCTGATAAAAAAGCCAACGCAGGAAAAGTAAACCGATAAAAGACCATTTCTGATATGTTCTGTACTCTCTCTCTCTCTCTCTCTCTCTCTCTCTCTCTCTCTCTTCTCTCTCTGTCTCTCTCTCTGACTCTCTCTCTCACTTTGTGATCCAAAAGGAAAACTTTTATCTCTTTTACTTTTCAAAAATAAAAGCTGGATTTTTCCATAAGTGTCACGTGTCCCATAACTCCAGACCTTTCATATTTTCCATTATTCAGATATTCAGTCCCCACAGAGACCTAAATACATGGCCACAAACACACAGAGTTACTCACAGAATGTATAGCATAGCAGACCCACTTTTGCTCCCTGAAAGAACCTTTTAATTAGTGGTTCTTTAAAGTATCATATTTGAGATATGTGAGTGTGAAGAACCTTTTTAAAAAGTTTAAAGAAACTCCACATAATGCAAAGGTTCTATACCAATGAAAGGTTTTTACAGAACCATGTGTCCCAGCCAAGAATCACTGAGGAACCTTTGTTTTTAAGAGTCTTTAGGCATATCAGATTGTGCATGATGATTTGACTTGGATGGGCAGAGACATGTCCATTAGCTCCTAAAAGCATCAACATATGGTTTATTCCATTCTGTATTTGTTTTACACAAAACAGATGCAGTGACGGATGTTAGACTGTGTTGTATTTCTTTATGCCACTGTTTACCTTCCTGTTAGAACATGTAGAATGAGGTTATATTTAAATTTATATTAGGATACCTTTGATTTATTTAACAGTTGAAACCAGACGTGTTTGATTATTCTTCTGTGGTCAGTTAACATTTTGTGTTAAGATCATAGTGTTTTTAATGTTTTTGGATCGAGTGCTGTGATTCTACACTTTGTATCGGTATCAAAATCAAAATTCTGGTATCACAACATTGTTTGCTGCACCTACTTTATATGCAGTCTTAAGAAGGCCTGTGCCAATATCTGTAAGATATAAACTTTACGCACCTCATTAATCCAGCGTCCTCAGCGTAAGGCAAACAGTCTGCTTCACATTCGACAAATGCAAGCTGATAAGAGTGAGTGATTAAATTAATGAAAGATTAACAGGGGTATGAAAGGCGATAAGGCCGATTTTCAGCAGGCTAAGCCAAAGACAGGGGGAGAGGAATGTTTACAGGGAGGAAAGTATCAGTGCTGTCTGTCAGAGGAGTGACAGAGAGAGAGAGAGAGAGAGAGACTGGGAGATCCTTCGGTCTGCCTCTGCTCCTCCTCACACCTCTGTGCCAACAGCCAAGCTGCGTTTGTGCTCAGCGTTAGAGCTAGCGTTAGCTGTGGATTCCAGTAGTGAGAGAAATAAAGGAGGGAAGCACTACTAGGCTGGACTAACAGAGGGGCTTTCCTCTCCTAGCTGCGTCTCTCCAGATAATACCTCTCTGTGATGCACACAGACTTCATGGAAACTCTTTCTCATACACCCCACTGCTTTATGGGGTGAGTCCAAGAGAAAGGTCCAGTTATGAGCCGCTGCCACAAACAGGGAGAGAGAGAGTAGGGGGAGAGAAAGGAGAGAGGGAGAGAGAGAGAAGAGAGAGAGAGAGAGAGAGAGAGTGAGAGAGAGAGAGGCCTCTGGCAGGATTCCAGCACTCCTCATTGAGGATGTCAAGAGTAAATAAATAGTGGAGTTTCATTTCAGCTGCCGTCACTCTGATGAATGATAGTGAAACACATCCTCATCCTCTAATTTTGATTTTGAACTATTGCCATTGCTATTTTTGTTTCTTTGACTTTCATAAATGAATTCATACTTGAACCTCAAGGATGCCCACATTTCATAGTTCTGTTAAAAGCTAACAGAAAAAAGAATACTTAAGTTCTTTTTTTGCCTCATCTGTTGTGTCTGTATTACACTGGAATCACCACAGATAAATGAATAACTAAAAAATACATATTATGAAAAGTTGAAACTGACACAGTTGTTCTTAAGGGTGGGCAATATGGCAAATTTATCATGATACAGACATTTTCATGATACATGATACATATTATGATATTTTAACCTAGGCACAATGCACAATCCACATTGAAAAAAAAACAGTCATGAAAACATCTTGGGGCAGTTATTTTTATTCAACATTTCACACACTGTACTGTAACAGCCAATTAAACAGGACTAATTATGTTCTATTATTAAATAAATATGCAGTCGGTCAGTGTTCTTTAAGTACTGACTGTATGAAAAGCGTATTGAGTATCCTGATAATAAAATTTATCACAGTAATGACAAAATATTGTCATATTGCCCACCCCTAAGTGTTTTTCAGAACGTGCATCCAATTTGAAATAGTATCCGAAAAATAACAAATTTTACATATTTACATCGTGATTTACAAGTATCTTTTAAAAAAATTCTATCAAGTGTTTAATGAAATATATGCTTTGCATAAATGATGACTGATTGCCTGATGGCTTCTATTATAAAAGAGTTTTTAGTCAAGTTTTCATTTGTAAGTACAGGGAAGCACGTCAGAATTATTGTCTGTGGTCACTGACTCTATTTTAAAGATCAGTCAAATAGAGACTATGTAGAAAATGCTGGACCAGTTCTTTAAACTAGTAATTTTGCTGTGCTTTCAACATTTTTGGTCACTGGACTTGATGAAAGTTCAGGAGCCAGAACATGATACCTGGCACAGGCAGGGAGGCAGGGATATGGTCTCTGTGTTTGTTTAAGAGGGATCTAAGTTCCCAGAGCAGTGCAGTGAGGCACAGTCTGATGAATGGCATGTGTGTGTATGTGGTAGCACTATGGTGCTTGGGTGCTAAGAGCTTGTAACACAGAGGTGCCACTGATCTCTCCCTGTTTTTCTCCCCTCACCTCTTCTCTCTTTCATGACATCCACTGTACCTGAGCCAAGAAGGCGCACAGCTCTACACATGCTGACCTTATACTTGGGAAAGAGCAAAGCTGTCATGATGAAAATCTTGCCTTCATTATCTTTGAAGCTACAATACCTCTACAGACCTCACAGTATGCTTTGCTTTCTATGTGTGCCAGGGGTGGGACCCTGAAACTCCTTTCATTTCATTTTGTTTCATTTTGTGCAGCCCATAACCATTTCAGACCCATGATGACGTGGGCGTTGCTTATGAATGATGAGCAAAAGTAATTCTATAAACTTTCACTAAAGTTTTTGATTTCTTTACCTAACATTGATGCCTTTGTGTGTGATTCTAATCCATCACACATGATCCAACTTTAGGAGGTGAATCTGGTGTGTTGTGTTGATAACTAGTCTGCAGAAAGTGCTGGTGACCACTGAAGCACCAAATAATGTCTCTTTAGCATTATATAAGAAAGAGCACAGTTAGAAATGTGACACGATTTGGAAATTCGTACTATGAGTGTAGCAGTACTCTCAGCCCACGATTCTTTTTTGTCCAAAATATCATGAGAATATGACACTGTGAACTCAGCATCACTAATTGAAACAAAACAAATTCCACTACTTACTAACTGCCCTAGACCTGAGAGACAGGAGGAGTGTTGGAGTTGGTGGTTGATTGGTCGTGGTTGTTAGCAAACATTGGTGTTCAAACAATGTAGTTGCATCAGAGGGCAAAATTAATAAAATGTCTGTTCTCCATGATGCATGTTGTCACATTTTTGCATTGTGATATCATGCAGTCACAATACATTTTTATACCTGTATTATTTACCAGTCTTAAGTTAAACCTCTTTAAATCCCAGGCTTATTACATACTAAGGCCCGTGTGTCAAACACACGGCCCGCGGGCCAAGTCAGGCCCGTGACACAATCCTATTCAGCCCACAAAATTATTTAATAATCTATTATTATCAGCCTGTTTCACCTTGAGATGCAGTACAGTCCCCAGCATCCACTGCAACGTAGTGTGCGTTCTGACTCCCAACAACAATCTCTGGGCCAGCGGTTACACAAAAAGAAAAGATGCCTGGTGTCTAGTTCAAGCAAAAAGGCACTAAACAGTGGCCCGTTTGGGTAATGGCAAAATTGAGTAAAAATGCAAAAAGACTCAGCTGGCCCACAGATTTGCTGAGATTTTTCAATATAGCCCTGTACACCCCTGTACTAAGGCTTATAATTCAGTAACTACATGAATTTCAATGCAAACTGCCTGAGCTATTCTTAGGTTATAGAAGCGTGTAATAGATCTTTGGATCCATCTGTGGGCCCTGGCCATTTAAGGGGGTTAAGTTGTAAGGTTATTTATAAGTACCTTGTTTTATATTTCTGTTATTTAAGACTGAGAGTTTCTGATTCTGGGTTTGTTTGAGTTTAGAAATTTGAAAATTGGAACTAAACCACACTGGAAAACTAATAATTGATAAAATGATTGGTACCAGACAGTAAAGCACTGTTTAACTAAAGTAATGGATCCTGTTCAGTTTTTGACCATATAAGTTTATATTGGTCAATAAATCATCAGTTATTGTCATTTTTAACACCTTAAATTCAGTATCAGTGACAATTTTTGTATTGGATGGGCCTTAGTAAGCTAATGTACAGGTGAGTCATACCTTTTTTTGTATTCA